ATAGTTACACACCTTTGGTCCAATTGCAAGTCAACCTAAATGGAAATGTCAATTACTATTTGACACGAGTGCAGGAGCGCGCGCGCGCGCGAAAGAGAGAGAGAAGCCTAATCAAAATATTCAATTTGCAGAGAACAACAGCTGCTCGCGTTTTGGAATTCTACTCTCCAGACTGTTGTCGTCGTCGGCTGCTAGCGTGACGCGCGCTGCCGGAAATTCATACGCGCGCGGCAAGCTCGCGAGCGCGAGCTTTATTGCGATCCTCGGCATTCCCGCAAACGCGCGCGCGTGTATTGCCACGTCGATTTAATTGGATGATCTTTCGACTGTAGGGCTCCTTCTCCTCCTCTTTTTCGAGTGTGCGTGCGCTTGTTATGGAAATATATAGCGCAGCGGGGAATTAGGCCGGACAAAGCGGTAATTGTGTCGTCAACGTTGAAAAAAGCGAACAAGAAAAAACAAGTCACACGCAGACGCGTGAGAGGGGGACCGAGAAGCGAGAGAACGGAAGAGGAACCGTCGCCGCCGTCGAAAACGTATTTTAATCGACTTAACACGCTCACTCTATCGCTCGGCCGTCGGAGAGGCCGCGGGAATATTTTTTTGATTGACGCTAACGCCGTTAGTCCGCGGATAATCGCGTTTTTTAGGCGTGAGCGCGCTTATTGGATTTTGCGTTTGACAGCCAAGCGCGCGCGCGCACTCTCTTTCTCCCTCTCCTGATCGACGTGAGAGAGGAGCAAGAGGAGCAGCACAACTCGGCTATCGATCTCCTCCGCTGGCTGCGGATCATTTCTCGCTATTTTCGAAGAAAGCTCCTTGTTTATTTACGCTGATTGGCCGAGAGGCTTTAGACCTGTTTGCGGAGCGTCGATATCCGCTGGCCCCGGGCTACAGGATCTACCTAACAACAGCGACCGGCCAAGGTAGAGCAAACGCTAAATATACACAAGATACTCGTGCTTGTTTTTTTCCTGTCTGTGCCGTGCTGATTTGACTTTTATATGTAAGGAACTTTCGTTCTCGAAAAGGGACCAACAATTTCGCCGGGGTCATCGTAAAGTAAGGACGAGAGCTCGTTGCATAGGCAAGTTGACATGTTCTTCTTCTTTTCCCACGCCCGCGAGACTGGAATCGCGCATCCCAAACTGAATTCTAAAGCGAGAAAAACTCGTTCCCGCTCTTTCGTCGCGAAATAATACATGCTACCCTCATACAGAGAGGCGGCAGAGAAGAGATCGTTTTTAAAAATGGCATTTGTCATGGCAATTTCCCGTAAAAAATACACGCGCCGTTGGTATAATTTTGCCATACGTCAAGCGCGTATCAATGATAGAATAAGCATCGTAACAAGCCCAAAGGAAGCAAAAAAAGGATAGATGGGGGGTAGGGGAGAGTCGTAAAGGAACGAAAAATTCTATTAATAATCCTCTCTATCACGAGGAAACCACTCCCGCAGGACACAATAAAAAGCGTCGCTCGCCTGGGCAAATAAGAAAAAGATCCCCTCGAGAGTGAGAGAGAGGCAGACAAATGGAAAAAAGCACTCAATCACATCGAGAGAGAGAGAGAGAGAGAGAGAGAGAGAGAGAGAGAGAGAGAGAGAGAGAGAGAGAGAGAGAGAAGTAGTGGCCTGCCAGTAAGTAGGTCCGCGTCTAGCGGTACGCTACTCGCGATTATTTTATTGATTCGCTGCGGCTGAATATTTAAGCACACCTCCAGACTATATATCATACGCACGCGCTTTTCTTCTGCTGCTGCCCGAGGTCTCCGTGTCTGTGTGTTTCACTACATTTTTCTCGCGCAGCCTGTAGGTACACCGACGTGCTCTCATAAATACTTTGTTAACTCTGAATGCAGACACGTCTTGTGCGCGCATTCTTTTTTTCCTCCTCCCCCTGCGGCAACAGAGACGCCTGCTTCTATTTTTGCCAAGGCTTTTTGTTTGATCTTCTGATTACAATTTTTCTCTACGAGGTTTTCGCCCGGATTATTTCTTTGTATGAACAAGTATGAGCATATCGTTTGTACTCGTCGGTCTATGTCAAAGGGCTATTTCCACAAATCTTTCATAAACAAAGTTTTTTCAATTAAAGATTCCGAGAGCTCTCGCAACTTTACCAGAGTTCTTTATTGATTACAATTATGAACAGTTGTAATGCAGTCAAATCAACTGGTAATTTCTCTAAAAAGAGACAGACAACTGCCACTCAATTTAAAATCAATTAGAATGTCGAAAAATCATAATGTCCAAAAATCATAATGTCGTTTATGAACATTAGCAACGTTATAGAAAATTGCCATGCGGATATTTTCCTTCTTTTTTTTTACCGTGCTTGTGTTACAGCTGAGCATAAGACGGCTTGAGTGTTGGGTAAATTGTAACAAGCAATTTTGATAATTTTCAAACCAATTAAAAGTTATGAAGCGGCTTTGACATTTTTAAGCGTTTAAAAGTCCTGAAAATATTCAGAGCTTCTGAAGCGAATGATGATACTTTTGAGTAAGTAGTATTCCGCACGTGCGTGTGTGCAATTTGCTTTCGGTAGTAATTTTCCGCCAAGAACGATCTTCAGCAGAGTCACTGTATTTTAGGAAAAACGCGGCGTCAAAAGAAAATCGTTTGCAAGCTCTTTTATTTTGATTGATGTTTTCTTCGGAAAGCTCGCAAAAGAGACTTGTTTTAATTATACTCGTAGCTTCGAAAAGCCAACAGCTTCCTGAAAATTCGCACATTCGTATTCGCTCTGTTTCGTCGCTGAGCGCGCACGGCAACCTACAATCAAGCTCTAACGGAAAACTTGTATGCAAGAAGAAAGAGTAAGAAAGAAGCGAAGTAGTAGCCTTCAAACGCAAAAATGCAAATTCCAAGCACTTCGCTCGCTCAACAAAAACCACTCGCTTCATCCCCCTCCTCTGGTCCCGTGCAGTAAGCAAAACGCCTACATGCCAGCGCCATAATTCACAAAATCAATGAAACACACAGCAGTGCTTGGCGGGTGCGACTGTGTGTACGCGAGCATTTGCCTCGCGCGCGCGGCAATCAACATTTCCATCAGTTAAAACGCCGCGCGTGAAAAATACCAGCGCTCCCGGAATAAAAAAAACAACGAACTGCATCCGCGCCAACGAAGCTGCTCCGCGGGACGAAAGTGCAGGTAGCGCAGCCTCGTTAATTTCACAAAATTAAAAGTATAGCACAGGAGGCTCGAAGGCGGTCGTGGTATAACTCGCACAAACAGCCCGCCACGGAAATTTCAAACTATGCATAGCTGCAGCTGCCGCATACTTTAGCCCCGTTTTCCCGCTTTCCGCGGTGTACCTATGCGCGACGGCCTTTATATTTGATAAGCTTGGCGAGGCAGTTTCGCTCGCGTTCTCGTGGGGCGAGCGATCGTCGCTCGGTAAATCGTCGCCGGCGCCGAATTTATTCATTAACGACGCGCGAGGGAGGCGCGCCCCGCAGAATTACGCGAGATCGCCGTTGAGCCGCGAGCAGCGGCCGTCGCCGGCGCGAAGACAGTGCTTTGCTCGGCGCGACACCACGACGAGTGTCCGCTAGTCATGCAACGCCGATTCGCCGATTCGCCGATTCGAGTTTTCGCCTTTCCAGACGGCGCTCGGACTCTCCCTCCGGCGTGCGTGGCTCTACAGTTCGAGCTGCTCGAGGGGCCACGCGCGCTCGACCGAATTGTTTCTCCGTCGCGGCCCCTTTTCGGCGGCCGGACACCGAGACGAGAGTAAACTGGTAAGTAAGCGACGGTGTGGAGCTTCCGCGACTGCTTTGGTTCTCGCTCTTTGCCCCGGCTGTCGCTGTGACGTCGCGCGTCGCACTTGACGGTAATCCGATGGTTTTCCGAGCTCCGCCGCATCGATTATTTTCGCGCGCCGCCAAAGCTGCTGGAAGGAATTGAATTTTTCGCGGATTTGTTTAGGTGACTCTGCCGCTGACAGCAGCGAGCGGTGCATTCGGTGCCACCGCTGCTGCTGGAATGTCGCTCGTGCGGTTTTGCGGGCGGTGCGCCAGTGCAGTATGCGAAACCTTTTCTTGTGCCAGTAAGCACCGTTTGCGCCGATTGACTCTCTACCTCTCTCAATATATATATATATATGTATAAAACCAAACGTCAGAATTCGTACATGTATATAAATCCTTGGCATACACAAGCTTTTATGATCTTCGAGTCGATAAATTTCATAGAAATTCTGTTCCGACGCCGAAATATATAAAACTTTGGTACTTGAACAACAACAACGACAAAAGAAACGAGAGAAAAGTCGAGGCTCTTGCGCGAAAGTGTCTTTTCGATATAATTTATCGAGTCATAACGTTATAGAGCCATTCTCAGTCGTAAAAAAAGGAAGGGAAGGTTCAATATCAATCCAAATGAAAAAAAGTGTCGATTTTACAAGCTCGCCGATGCCTACAGCTACGGGCGTTGCATTAGCATTCGAATGGCAATTAGCAATGAAGCCTGCGCGTTGTCCCGACCGATAAACTTAGTTATAGCTTACGAGCTTTTTCGATTGAAAAGGGCCCCTTTGTCGAGCGCCACCGGTGGAATTGTTTCTTACTTGGCGCGCGAAATGCAATCAAGCTGCGACGACCAGTTGGGAGAGAGAGTACAAAGGTGAACCCTCTCTCAGAGCGACTTTACGCTCTTTCGAATATGTACTGGACGCTTTGCGCGTTTTTTTCTTCTTCTTCTTCAAACTCCTTTGTCTGCGCATTCTCGCTCTCCCTTCGATTTTTTTCCTTTCCTTGCCAACTGCAGTCTATGAAATCTCGCGGCACGAGCGCGGATTGCCCAATGCTAAACGACAGACAGATAATCTTGTGACAGGATAAAAGCGGCAGCTTCGCTCTTACGTAAGTCAGGCTCGATCGTGAGATTTGTCAAAGCGAAAAATTGCTCGAACTTATGATTCTTGGCATGCTGGAGCGCACACGAGACATGCACGTATCGTATATGCTTACGCGCTAAACGCGAAACTCTTACCGATCACCGCCGCAACAGCAGGCTCGGTGCATCAACGGCGGCGGCGGCGGCGGCAGCATCCTCTCTCCCTTTTTCCTCTCTTTCACCGGCTCCGCTTGCGCTGCAGCCAGGCGCACACTCGTGAGCGCTTAAGCCGCCCCAGGTGCGTTGAACCTCCTGGCGCTCTCTCTCTCTCACCGCGTCTCTCACTCACTTAGCAGTCGTGTGTGTATATATATGTGTATACATGTATAAGCAACCTGCACAACACCGTATCCCTCGTAAATAACTAACAAATCAACGCACTTTCTATATCAATTCATCTCGGAAAAACAACAATGACACAACTGTTCGATTCATCGTGCAAAACAATCCTCCTCGCCCTCTCGGTCTCTCCTTCTCTTTGAAAATCGCAATCAATCTGTTTTGAGGCGATGCGCGCGCGCGATACGTAAAATAATACGAAGCGAACGACAGGATCGGCCGTATATATATATATATATATTTATATATATGTATATATACCGCAAAGAAACAAGAGCGACCTGCCGAGACGAGGAGCCGCGCTCAACTGGTCGTGCGAGTCTAGCGGGCGCGACTCTCTCGCCGAGCCGCCGCGAGCTCCGACCAATGGGCTTTTACTCGCTTGCGCGCTTTACCGCCACTGCGCTCTCCTACCATACACCCATACACGCAGACACACACGCGCGCGCGCGCGCGCATAACGCGCTACGTGCGCGAGACAGAGCGAACCACGATCGTCCGGACACGAAAGACCGACTATCTGATTTTATTCGTCTTTGTCTAACTCGCCTGCGCGGCCTGCACAGGTATATGCATGCCGTTTGTCCGCCTAGCCGAGCCACTCTCCGTGGCTGTCGCGCGCGATTGGAAAGTCGCAGCCCGAGATTAGCGGCGCTGCGCGGCGCGTTCGCTAATTAATTGGGCGGCGGTGACGCGACCGCGGACCCGCGTGATTTTTCGCCACCGCCCGGCCGCCCGGCTGCCCGGCCGCCCGCGCGCAAACAATTTGACGAGCAGCGGCGACGCGATTATCCAGTTGAGAAGGCGCGCGTGATCGCATCCCGCGCGCTCGCCTTAAGCGCAATGTTCCGGTGCTCTCCGACGGGCACGGCTCTTCCGCGGCGATCGGCGCTGCTCTCTGGCCAAAGCCAATCGACGGTTCGCCTCGCGAGCGGCGTCGACGCTGACTCGGCTGCCCCGCAAGCCAAGGAGTACGCGTGTACTCCGCCGCGCGCCGCCTACGCGTGTTTACACTGCATAATTGACGCGAGGGCTCGCCGTAGTCAACTGCTCGCTAGCTGCGGGGATAACGAGCCGCTAATTACATTCCGCGAGAGACTTTCGGCCCGTTGCTAATTGCCCCGCCCGAAAGTTAGGCCCTTCGATAAGCGTTATTCCAATTATTCACCGACGATGATAGGCCGTGAGCTTGGAACGCCAAGCCGGATTGAAAAGTGTTGGAAAGTCTGGGAAATTATTAATGGCGCCGCCGAGTGGTTTTCGTGTAACACGCCGGCGCGATGATGGGCTTTTGTAGAACAGAAACACGCGTAAGACCGATAAGCTCGGAAAGAAAGACAGAGAGAGATATGGCGGCTGCTAATGGACGCCTCGTTACACACACACACACACACAGACACGCATTAAGGAATTTTTATTGTCCCACGGTGGCCGGCTACCACGCGCGCGCTCACCTTGGGCCCCAAAAAGACGCTTAGCGCCTTATCTGTTCGAGGAATCAGGATGGTATTTCTTCTTCTCGGTCGACTCGTACCTGCGGCGTCAAAACATCGATTTAGACCGCAAGTCCAAAATCAAGCCCGCTGTTACAAGGAATGTCATTCGCGCAATATATGTAATTATAGATTGTTTGCAGCGGCGAACACACCTCTGCGACAATTCGCCGCGATTTACGAGCAGCTCGCGCGCGATAGCGAATTAGGACGTCGCGACGCTCCGACGCTACGTTGGAAAATGCGCGCGGTTTCAGGGGTAAAGGCAGAGAGAGAGAGAGAGAGAGAGAGAGAGAGAGAGAGAGAGAGAGAGAGAGAGAGAGAGAGAGAGAGAGAAGCGACACGCGACTCGTAGGCCGACAATAAGCCAACAACGCACACGAACACAAGGTAGTTTCTTTGAATGCACGGGACGACAGCGCATTTTTCACAGTAACTCACCCCACGTCATTAGACGTCATCGCGCTTTTGTACGCGCTCCGATTTTTTCTGACCCTCTGTCGCTACAGTGTGAGAAGCTTAACGACTTTTGTGTAAAGGTGTTTGAGCGTATCGATGACGGCGTCATTTGGAGCAGTCGATGCCTCTTTCAAAAGAAATGTACTGTGTATTGATGCATACCTTCGTATTTCGTGATAATAAAATTGTGCGATCTGTGCGTTTGTGCGTGTGTCTGCATTGATATTCTCGGCCTAATGAAAAATGCTCGCATAAATTTTATATTGAGAAATAATCGTAATGTGTCGCGCCGCCTTCGCGCTTGGAATTCAAAGTGCATTTTATGCGGATACACGCACATATACATACACACACGTATATATGAAATTGCAGTATACGTTACACAGTGACACTAAGCGAGTTTTAAGCGAGCCCGAAGTAAAAGTTATACGCGAAAGTCTGCGTCTGTGTATATATATATATATATATATATAAAAAGCTGACGAATAGAAATTTTTACTAGGAAAAATAGGAAGTAATTATGAACAGAGACTACGAGAGAGAAAAAAGAAGCCGAGTCATGAACGTCAATTTAAGTTTAATGGCATAGTTTGAAAGATTGATCGATGCAGTATTCAGGGAATTTGAATTGAGCTTAACTTTTGAGCCCACACAGCAATAACGAAAAGAACGAGATATTTATAGAAAATCTGAGGGAAAAGCTGCATATTCATTTGCATGAAAATCCGAGGTATACATAGTCGCGCAGCGACGAGCCAAACCCACTCAACGCAACGGAAAAAATCAAGGAAAATCTAGCCGCGTCGGAAACAGTTATTCTCCCGGTCGGTTACTTTGACGCATCGCACACACGAGAGGACGAGGAAAAGAAAAGTTTTTCGCCAACAAAGCACAATCGGACGATAACGAATCCTCGACGACGTCGGCTGGCTTTCACCTATAAACAATCCAGTTGGCTTGTCAAGATGAAAGAAAAAATAATTGTAAAAAAGGCACTCGTCGCGTATATAAATCGGGCGCATCTAACGAGAGACACGCGTCAAAGGGAATTAATAAACACGCCTTTCCCGTGTCCCTTGTACGCACCGGATGCGTTTTACCTGCGAGCGGCGCGAAAACGAAAAGAGACGAGAAGAGAAGAGAAGATACCGCGCGTCCAATACAATAAATCAACAGCTGATCCTTGCTCCAGTCAAACTCCTCACGCAACTGGAACGTTTGTACGCATAAGACTAGCAGCTTTTATAATATCTGCGGTATGTATATATACACACACACACACACACAGACACACACACACACATCTGTGGGCTTTTTACTGGGCCATTCAACGACAAAAGGTTATTAATTGAATTGGCGCGGATGTCGCGAGAGAGTCACGTTTCGGGGATTATTCAAAGAAAAAACGCTGGCTACCGCGCGCGTATAGTTATATCCCATAGACTTCTCTCGCTGCAGCGCAACGGGAACTCTCTCGTTCACTTTGTTAGAAGCCGTGAAAAATTGCAGGCGCAATCTCGCAGCGCGCAGCGCAAAAGCCATAGTGTGTTTGATCGCCGCGCGCAGATAATCATTATATTGGCTTGTGTGCCTCGTTTCTTCGTGCGCGATAGACTGCCTATACCTCTTTCTCTGCTTTTCGATGAGGAACAGCGCGACTGGTGTAACTGGCTTTTGTGATTGATTGGTTATCGGGCTCCAATTATCGACTGCTCGTTGTGCGCGGAGTAATGCACTTTTTTCCTTATCGAGCGTGAGATTGCGCTGCGCGCGTTTCTTCTCCTCCGCGTATGCGTGCGAAAGAACTGCGCGCGACGGATATGATTCACACGGCACGTATCAAACTTCCGTGTGTATTTGTCGATGATGCGCATTACCTGCCTCGATAACGCTCCCCGCGTACTCGCGGTACGAGCGACGCAGAGGGATTTGCGAGCTAACGACCAAGTTTTCGGTTTGGCATCATTCGTTCATTTCATTGTTCATTCGGAAAATCAAGCTCCCGAGGAAAACTTCTAATGAGAGAAATTCCGCTGCTCGTGTATTTAGACAAGCACGAGCAACGAAACGTGAAAAATGGTGTATCAGCGTATGTAACACTATGAATACTTGAATAAACATGAAAACAAAAGTAGGTTAACTGTCGAGCCAAGAAAGACAGATTTTTTTACGGCGAAAGAAGAGAGAAAAACGTTGATCCCGAGTGACTGTCGAGCATCGCATATATTTATAAAACCGTCAGAGGATCCAAAAGAACCGTCAGTCAAAAAAAAGTTGAAAAGCCCGAGAGCAAGAGTACTGGCGCGTCTCAATCGGCTGAGCAAACCAAAACGCCGTATAGAAGATAGGGGGCCGAAACATATATCTCGTGCATATATTGCGCGCAGCCCCCTTGTTTCGCAATTAATCTCCGTGCAGCGCGGCAGCCAGTCGCAAAGAGAGTATATGCGTGTGGAGATGGAAATAACGCTCGCGCGCACGGGGGAGTTGCGTCTTGGAGCTTAAAGCTATACGGCAGAAGCGCTAAACTGTTTCGTCTTGCGCCATTCCCTCTCTTTGCAGCTGCATCGCGCTCGCCGGCGCGCTCCGCTTATCATCGTGTATTTTCGGCGAGCGAGCTGCCTGCTTTATTCCCGATCGACTGTGGATGCGCGCACAGGCCGCGGATTTTTTTTCCAGCCAACCTCACTTCCGCTCTCGCGTATATTTTCCGCGATACGCTGGCCGGTCGCGCTCGTTCTTTCCTCTCGGCGCGTAATATTTCTGCTATTTGTTTGCCGCCGAGGGATGGTAAATTATCTCGGGCTGTTTGATTTACTGTGTAGCTGGTTTCGCATGCGGTCTCCCGCGCGCGCGCGCATTCATTGCATTTAATTAAGCGTGTCGAGAGTTATTATACGTTTTATTGCGACGCGCGAGGTTGAATTGACGAAACCGATTAAAAGTCATTAGATCGTTTTCAACGTTTCTCAGGGGGAAAGTACAACGAAGAAAGGCAAGACATTTAATAAGGTAAGATTCCATACTCGGATTGAAACGAACAAGAGCAAGACTTCATCTTGCTCTCGTTCTTTTTATATTGCAATGGAAAAGCAATCTAAAGGGCTGCAATTTAAAGGCAGACACCGCGACAATCTCTCCTTCTTCATAAAATGTCGCGAGCGAGAGCTGGCAACTCGGGCGCGATAATTCGTGGGTTTACACACAGAGATTAACATTGAAATGAAAATAAAAAAAAGATGAAGCCTTTTTCCATGCCGTTAATACACTCGCGTCCCTCTGTCCCACTCTCCGGTTGTAGAAAGCGTATGCATCGCATCGCGTGATGCACTCTG